TTTTTCTATATGTTTGATTGTGTATACATATAACTACTTATATATTCTTTCGGTTTTTTTTTGTTTTTTGGTTAAGGGTTCTATTTTTGTCTATGCAACTTGTCATGTGTGTCTTGGGATAATCATGTAATTTTTTTTTTTTGTGGCTAATTTTTTTTTCTGTTTATTGTAGTTGCTACTTTTTGAAAAAACCTAGAATGTTGTTCTCTCTTTCTTTCTTTTTCTACTACAACGTGGTGCTGTTTGTTTTTCTTTTGTTTTGTTTTTTTCCTGTTATATATTCTTGTGCGCAAAAATGCGTACAAATTTTCACTTTTTTTTTTTTTTCTTTTCTTTTGTTTTTTGTTCTTTCGATTATACTTCTCTCCTCCTATTCTTTACAGTGTATCTCGTTTTCTTTCATTTGGTTTTTCATTTTCTCCTACAGTTCTACTTTTTTTTCTTTTTTTTTTTCGTTCGTTTATCTACCTTTACTATTATTACTATTACAGCTTCTTGAGAATATTTATGTGAAAAACGAGATCGCGTGCTATTATTGCTATTGCTGTTGGTTCGAATAAATTCTAAATTGGAATATATATATATATAGAAAAAAAAAAAAACGAATTCAAATTTCTTTTTGATAATTTTCACAATTGCTTGTATTGGAATTCAATGATTAATTAGAGATTGTACAAAAAAGAAAACAAAATTGTATTTTTAGATATAAAATTCAAATATATATATACGTAAACATTAAAATATTAATCTGCAATATCATTTCATTTAACCAAGATATGAGAATATATGTTGTAATACAAGACAGCTGTTAGTGACATGATAATACTATACAAGGTTAGTGGTGTAATCAGAGAAAAATTTGTAAGCTGGAACTCAAAGCCTTCTAGAAAGAGATGAGACTGGAATTGGTTTGGTTCGAATTTTTTAAAAACTAGGTCGATTCAGTTCCAAAAATGCGAACTGATTCCATCTCTGATAGAGAGCTAATTTCGTTCTCGTCGAACTTCGACGTCAAACTGTGACCAAGTTTACTGGAGTTTTGATCCAAAATTTTGTCTATAGATAGGTCAAATGACCCGTAGAATATTCTGAAAGTTTCAACCGAAACGAATGTTTCTTCATTTAGTTATTGAATTTTCCAGCGAACTCGATTTTTGTGATATGGGGTTATGTTTGGAAGTTCAATGTCTTGACGAACGGACATTCTTTTCGACTGAAACTTTCAGAATATTCTAAGAGCCATTAAATCTATCCTGTAGAGAAAATTTTAGATAAAAACACAGTTATATTCGATCTTTCGAGGAGTACCTAAAACAGTGAACTGGTCATAGTTCGGCACCGAAGATCAACAAGGGGGACAGATAAAATTAGATTGATCGAAAGTCTTTTTATTCATTTGTTCAAATTCTTTTGACATGAACTACTCATGAAGAAAAGTGTATTTGACAATATAATCAATTCCTGCGAATCTTCGTTTTTTTTCTTCTAGATAATTCGGCGGTGAAGACAATATATGAATATTATTTTTTTTTGAATTCAACAATGAAAAGATAATGATCAACAAAAAACGTTTGATCAAGTAAGTTTGTCTATGTTATATACTTTTTTTGAGTATATATATTACGGTCAAAATTGGAATCTGGTCAAATTTAGAATATGACCGGACAAAATTAGAATATTTTTTTCACGAAAAATTTAAATTAACGAAGAACATATCGGCACAGATGATCCTGAAAGTATGGATGAGATTCAGAAGGCTAGTCAGCTATTTTTTGTGGTAAGTGTGAGTGCGAGTGACTGGAAAATAGAAAACCTTGTAAAACTGCAATTCCACTAGCATCTTCATGATCGGGTTTATTCAGAAATGTTTCAATTGATTTCTGAGTCTTATTCACATCTTCGCCATCCTTTGTGCCGATATGTTCTTCCGTTCTCTCTAGTTTCTTCAATTTATATGCATCATAAAAAAATATTCTAACTTTGTCCAGTCAAAATTAGAATTCCAATTTTGTTTGATCAAATTCTAAATATGATCAGATTTCAGTTTTGACCGTAATATATACACATACGTGTTATAAGAACACACATGTTTTTATATTGTAGGATTATTGAGTCATGATAAAGAAGAAATGTATTCATCTCTATTCGAGTATGAGAAGATCAGCCAGCTACATGATTGAGAAGTATATGATTATATCGAGTTGAACGTATATCTATATTATTTTAATTATTATGTTGTGTATCAAATGAAATAAAATTTAACATATATATATATTTCGTTTATTTTGTTCAGTTAGATTTGAGATTTATTTGTTGTTTTGTTTTATTTGATAAAAAAAAAGAAAAAGATTCGATTAAAAAAATGTCTTCTATTGTAGAAACTTAGTCGTCTAATTTTTAAATTCTATAACAATGACGGAAAATGATATTTTAAACGTAAATAATGATGAACTTGAACCAGAACAAAAACGTAAAATTTTTATTGGAAGTTTATCATATCGTATTGATGATAATACATTTCGTGATTATTGGACACAATTTGGTACAGTTTTGTATGTTAAATTATGTTTTGTATTTCATTTCAAATAAATAAATTCATTTAGAAATACAACAATTTTACGTGATCGAGAAGGTCATTCACGTGGTTTTGGTTTTGTTACATTTGATAATTCAGCAGGTGTTGATGCTGTTATGAAAGCAAGACCACATACACTTGATAATCGTGTTGTAGAACCAAAACGAGCGGTAAAATAAAAATTCAAAGAAAAAAAAAAACAACAAAATTGCTTAAATTTTAATCATTTTTTTTTTGTTTTCATTTGATTTTAGGTACCACGTGAAGCATCACATAAACCAGATATGCAATTAGCAGTAAAAAAACTTTATTTAGGTGGCGTTAAAGAACCATTAACAGAAAGTGATCTTAAAGATTATTTTTCTAAATATGGAACAATTATAAACGTAACTATTACGAAAGATCGAGATGGTCAATATCGTGGGTAAGTATTTGCTCATAAAGATAGAATTCAAAAACTTACAATCGTTTTTAGTTAACTAATAAAAGAAAGCATTTTCAGACTTGGTGATGATAGATCTATAATATAAACAGTGAAATAAATGATTCAAAACCTGAAGATCTACAGGCATACTGAATAATCAAGCTTAATAAAACCTTCGGTTGCTTTCGTGATTGCCCATATATGTCAAAAAACGCTTGGACAATTACCCAACATTGTCTGATGCGTGTCTAATTTATAATTACAAACTAGAAATTTTGAAATGCACTTAGAGCATAGCAAAAGTTCTGGCCATGGCGTTTAAAGGATCTTTTTGGATACGAGAACCTATTGAGAAATGAAAAACCAAGTATTTCATGTTGTAGAGCTTTTTGAGGTGCGTCGAATGGCATATAGTAAATCTTGTTTTCATAAGATTTTAAAGGAAGTAGAGTCACTTTACTGATAGACGACAACATATCTATACCCAAGCATGATAAGTTTCTGAATATTGTGGTCCTTAGTATTTGTAAAATATTTTTTCTCACATACGATTTTGTAGAGTTTTTGGTGGACTACAATCTTCTATATGTAGCATCTCCAGCTATCTTGTCAGTGTGTGTGTATGATTGTGTAGTCGTCTATCAATAAAATGACTCTAGGTCCTTCAAAGTCCTATGAAAATAAGAATTACTATATACCATTCGACGCACCTCAAAAAGCTCTACGACATGGGATATTTGGTTTTTCATTTCTCAATAGGCTCCCTTATCTGAAAAGATAATTTAAATGCTGTGACCAGAACTTTTGGTATGCTCTAAGTACGAACTTGAATACATTGATAAATCTATCTGAATTTATTCATCAACTTGAATGTCCTCAAATGTTTGGTTTTGATTTAAATGATTTTTTATTTGTAGATACTACATAGTGTTCTAATAAAAGTTCTCTATATGTGCAAAGTTTTACATCAAAACTCGAGTTTTTCGAAAACCTGGAATCTCTAGAAAAAAATTCAATAGTTCAGTTAAATCTCAATAGAAATTGAAATCCTTTTAGTATTTTTATTTATCATTTAATCTATCTGATATCTTTTGTTAGCATTGATTTTCATATCTATTTCAGTCTTTCTGTTCGAATTTTTTTCTCATTAAATTTTTTTTTGTCAAGTTTAAAATTTTCATAATCTTAAACCCACACTACAAGTATTTCTTGTAATATTATATTTTATTTCTTTTTAGTTTCGGTTTTATTGAATTTGACGAGTAAGTTATATTTTATTTTTCGAGATGAAAATAAGTTTTTTTTTCTTAAATAACTAGTTATGATCCTGTCGATAAAATAATTCTTGAAAAAAATCATATTATATGTGGTCATCAAATAGACGCTCAAAAAGCTCAATCAAAAGATAATTCACAACGTTCTAGTGGTAATATACGATCTCGACAAGGTCCATCAGGTATGTCAACATCTAATTATAATGGTAGTGGTTATAATAATTATCAACAAAATACATATAATGATTCATATGGACAAATGCCTAATAATAATAATTACAATGAATATAATCCAAATTTTAATGAAGGAAATAATAATAGACCTGCATTTGGTCAAGGGTTAGTTTAAAAAGAAAACAAAAAAAGCATAGTTTTTCGTACATTGAATAGTTTTATTATTTAGATATAATCAAGAAAATGTTCGTGGAGCAATGCGACGAGGAAATATGAGAGGTGACGGTCATAATTATGCACCATATAATGGTCGTGGTCGTGTTGCACGAGGTGGACGTGGTGGTGATAACAATCAAGGTCCATCATGGAGTTCATGGGATTGATTGAACTTCATTATATACAGATGTTCTATGACAAAAAAAAAAAAAAAAAAAAAATTCTTTTTTCTTTTGATCTCTTGTTTGTTATCTTTAATTCTGCATGTAAATATTCACTTTGGATTCGATGAAAACAAAAAAAAATAAAATAAAATAGAGAGATAAGGTTATTGTAGATGGAAAAACGTCTTGACGATCTTCAACAACGTTTACAATCTTCTATAAATAATCTCTGGTGTAAAACTCTTTCACATGAAATAAATCGTCTATCATCATGTCTAACAAATAAATTACCTATTTATCGAACACAATTAACACGTGAACAATTATTAATTTCAATAAAATCAATTCAAGATTTAAATATAATATCAACAAATAATGATTTATATTATCGTGGATTAATAAATTATCTTTTACTTCTATCAATTCATACACATAAACTTATTTGTGAAATATTTCTTGATCATATTTATCATTTAAAACAACATCTTCATTATTGGAAACAAAATGAATCAAATGAAATAGGTATATTTGATCAAATAAAAACAACATTTTGGTTTGATAAAAATCGAGATGATATACGTATAATAGAAAAAATTAAATTTTTAACTAAACAAGAATATTATCTATCAAATATAATTGGTCATTTAGCTTATACAATAAATAATTTAGAACAACAAGAACAAATTAATCTTGATTTAATTATGAATTCAACTAATGAACTTTATAAAATATTATTTGATAATACATCAGTTAATTATAATTCTCATAGTGATTTATCTGATGTTATTGAAGTTTATTCTCAAATGTTAAATTCATTTGACGAATTTAAATTACGATGGATTGATACAGTTCATTTATATTATAAACCAACACATATTAAACGTTATCTTCCATTTTATGTTTGTTTTACCGCGATAGGATTTTATACATTATTTAAAGTGTATACGAATAGACAACAAATTATAAATTATATTTATACAACATATGATTCATTGAAATTTTTTATCAGTGAACATTTAATATTACCATTAAAAACAATCTATGCATCAACATTTGAATCACGTTCATCACAAGCTGCATTTGAAAATTCACAATTAAATTATACAAATTCTAAAAAAATACTTGAAGAAATGTTAGAAGAATATGGACGTCAACATGCGGATAGTTTAGCACAAATTAATAATACTACTGTAGATGAATTTTTATTAACATTAAATGAACGTGCAAGAAATGAAGATATGAATGTTGTAATGAAGAATTATCAACAAGAACTTAATCGCCCTATAAGATCAGCTCTTTTAGGAGATTTAATTAAAGGTATCTTTTTAATGTTATATCCATGACAATTAATATAATTAAAGATGTTTTTTTAATATTTTTCATAAGATTTATAGACAATTAGCTATACATCGAACCGTTTAGGTTCATGAACTTTTCAACTAGTTCAGACAGTGTCGAGTATCTAGATCATTATACAAGCATTTCTCGAGATATATGAACAGTGATGAAAGTATCTTACGGTTCACTCGAGTTCGGGTATTTTTGAACATGGTTGACTTTCTTTTTGGATGTCAGTATCTGTTCAATTCATAACTCATTTTATTATTTGTAGACCTACCATAGCCAACATTGAAAACGATTCATTTGGCTTACTTCTACTTCATATTGTTAGTTAATTGAAAGTGATTGAACTCAATATCCAATCCGAACAGTTTTGGGTTGGATGCATGCCTAAAGAGAACATTGTTGACCAGTAATCATGGTGTGAAAGAGAATGAATATATAGTTCTGATCACTCTTTGCAGAAAAAAAAAATTTGAGTTTCTTCACAAGTTCTTTGATGACGAGCGAAATAAAACTATCATGCTCTTATAATTAATCTTCGATCTACATGTAGTTTTAATTCTTATTATTTATAGTATAGTAAAGAAAAACTTGATATTATTTTAACATTGTCCGTAGAACAAAAATGTTACAAACTATAATGAATAATAAAGAATTATGTTGATTAAATTTGTCTGATAGTTACAATAATTCTAATATATCATTATAAACAAAGTTTTTTTTTTAAATTTAACATGAAACATATTATTGTACGCCTTTCCAAACTAACCTTTAGCACGAAAATCTTCATTCTTCGATCGTCCACTAAAAGACAACCGATCAGAATCAAAAGCAGTTAGTTAAGATTCGAATGTTTTACTATTTCCGAATATATATTCACATTTTTCTGCTGGAGTAAAATTGAACAACTATCAATAAATTCTTTGAAAAAGTCTAAAATTGTGTATGTACAAAGCAAAATAAACAGTTTTAGTACGGTGCTTAGTTTAGCTAGTTTGTATTTTAGAATAACTCTATCATGCAAGATAAAATAAAAACAACTAAATAGCACAATTTGTAGAGCGAACTGAAGTATTAAAAACTGTTTCGGATTTTGAATTGGATAATTTTCAATCGAAATACAATAGTATTCTGTAAAATCATTATTTTTGACCTTTTTGAAACAATCTGATGATAGTTGTCCAATCTTACTCTTAAAAAGAAATTTGGAAACAGTCAAAAATTCTGGTTCTGGCTATAACGAATTGTATTTAAGTGGTTGAAAAATAAATGAATATTTTACACCAAAATTTTCGCTCTATAGGTTATCTAGATTTTATTAAAAACAATTATATGATAGAAAACATACTCTCGATTCCTAAAAAAAACGAACAGAAATTGTGACAGCGGAACCAGAATACTAGCGTCCCTCGTATTTTGGGTTGACAATGGTAGGTGGCGCCGTCAGTACATGTACTGTATTAATCAGAATACAAACCGTCAGTAGAGTAGCTAAAGGTGAAATTAATATCCTAGCTTCTCTCTTGTTCTGAGAAGGATAATCGAATGTACAGTTACTTTATTGGTATTCTTGATAATACGACACACTTAACGAGGACGATATCTGCCACTGTTCGCTCAGAACAAACGAGGTGCTAGTGTTCTGGTCCATCGCTAAGAAATTCTTCAATTCTTTGTTAATTATCTAACATATGTTTATTCATGACTGAAATGATTTTATTTTTCGATTCGTTTTAGGTATATTAATTCAAGTTCAAAAAGTAAAAGTTGATGGTGAAGGGTTAGTGATTCAAATAGATCAATTAATGAAACAAAATGAAATTAATTTTAGTTTACTTGCTACTATACCTGCTTTATTAGTAATTACATTTATAACAATTTCAACAAAAAATATTCTTGCTAATAGAGTTATTAAACAACGAAAATTTGATTTATCAACACTTCGTCAAAAAATAATACGTAAACTTCGAGAAATTGAACATGTACTTATTTTTAATAGTGAAATACCAGCATTAACAATAAATGATAATGAATTAATTGTAAAAGAAAAAGATAATAATGAAGAAAATAATAATGATCAAACAAAAATGACATATTTAACATATGGTTATTTTCTTTCTTTACTTTATGAATTAAAATATTTTACTACTCAACTTAAATCAAAACGTATGCTTTCAAAAGAATTTAATGAAGATATTAATTTATTAACATATACACAATTATCGGTGAAACAAAAACTAATGATTATTCAACAAATAGGTCATTCATATTCATTTCTTGTTCACTCTTAATTATTTTGTTGACTTTTTCTAAATGGTGCTTTATAAGTTTTTTCTTTTTTTTTTACTTTAGAGTTTTTTTTTCCCTTCTGCTATTTTAGTCCGAGTGCTTATTGGTGATATATCTTAATAAAAATATAGCTTTGAAAAAAAAAAACAGAAACTACTTTTTTTTATTTTTATACACTTGACTAAAAAATAAAAAGATGTAATCTTACAGTCGAACAACATCAATGTGCAAGATAGAAATAAATGAAAAATCGAATGATTTTTAGAGAAATATTTATAAACATATAAGAATTAAAAAATTGTTGAAATTCAAAAGAAAAAAAAACTATTGGACAATTTGTAGTTTGGGTAATTTTCTGCTATGCGAAATCGCACAAAATTCATAATGAAATAACGCGTGGCTAATAAATAATGGGACAATTTTATTTTCTGTTTTTCAAGAACGGAAACATTGTTCAGAAACATCACTTCAAGCTCATTCGGTAGAGAATTTTTTGTTCTACAAAAATGCGAAAAAAGCTTTTCTTGTTGAGGAAAAATTGGCAACTGCTTCACTGCAATCTGCTGCGAATATCAAATGAATTGTACGAGTTTCTGCTCATTAAATTCGATAATAAATGTAAAGTACTTTATATCAATAAATAGAGAATTTTATGTTCTATGCTCTTAATAATGTCGTTCAGTTGCAAAAGGCTTGAAACTAACGCCTACTGGTAATTTGTTTTGAATACACTTTCGAAATTCGTGTTTTCAAAAGTTAGCGTAATCTACGAACGATATATCATTGAATGCAGAATTTAATTCTGAACAAAATTATGTAAAATTTAAACTGAACAACGAAAATCTTTAGATTGTTTCCAATGGAATAGAGCTATTAGAAAGAGTCTTTTGAGTTCTTTTTTTTAATTTGTGCATGAAAAATTTTTTACTAAAATTGCGAAATATCGAAAGCTGCAGCATATTTCGAATTTTGTCACGACTGTTATTTAAACATATTTTTAATAATCGTTTTATTTTCTAACAGCCGTAGTTTAATGACTGAATAGGTGTCAATTTTTTCGATTTTTCTACAATAGAGGAAACTTATTTGAAGAATAAAGTCTATAGTTTCTGTACAACCAAAAATTCTCTATCGAATATGTTTAGAATGATCTCTTTAAACTGTGTTCAAAAGAAAAAGAGAATTAAAGTGTTCTATTCTTTATGTGCTACTCGTTAGATTTATATTCTCTTGTCTAATTAACAAAAGCAAATACTAATGAACAAAAGATTTAACATAGGAAATAACTAGAGATATCACGTTTGTTTTTCTAGTAATTAAGACTATTTGTTTATTTCTTATACTTATGTCGGTCTAAAAGTAGTGACGGAGATATCGTAATTCCTTACAGAAAGCACTGAGAGACTGTTTTCCTATACATGCAGTGTAAAAAGCTCTACAATTTACAAAGAACAATTATAAAAATATGAGATAAGAAAAACCGAATTTGTCTTTTACCAAAAAACAATCTTGTTTTTGCAACATCGAAATTTGACCGGATCAGAATTTTGTCCATTTTGAAAACAAAAATGCAACTATAAAATAATCAATCCTTTATAAATTGTAGAACTTTTCATACTGCATCTTGTGGTTGTACATTTTGTTTTTTTTAATACAACGTATTAAGTGATGATAAAATGAAATACAAAAGTGCTACATCCATTATGATCTAATACTACCAGCTAGTTTTCTACAAAAATAGTTCTTATCAAAATTTTATTATTATGATATTAGTTGATGTATAATCAAATAGAGCATTCTTTTCTCTATCAGACTGTATAAAAAAAAGCCTCTCAGTGCTTTCTATAAGGAATTATGATGTCTCCGTCACTACTTTTGGATTGACCTAAGTATATAAGATATATCATCGACATTACTATTGAATATAATCAATAAAGAAGAAAGTCAACATTGATTGAGTTTTTACTAATCATAAATGCTTTGAATATGAGTAAAATATTTCTATTATTTGAACTTTCAATATACATATAATGTGATATTAATATATATTGAAATGTTGTCTTTGTCAATGCGTTTGAACTATGATTTAAAGTAATGATATGTTGAAAAATTTCTTATTAACCAAATAATACATTATGACAATGTTGTTTCATCTTTTCTTTTTTCATTGATTATATCTGCATATATTGTTTTCTATCATTGAGAAAGATCTTACTTTTGATACCGAATAATTGTTTTTTTTTTTGTTAAAGAATATGCTCATCATCATTAAATTAGATAGGAGGAGACATATAATTGATTCATATGTCTTTGAAGTTCATTGTAATCAAATAGATACTCATCGATTTGACAATAAAATAACAAACACAATGTGCATGTGAATGTACATTTCTAATAGACATAGATCTCACTTGATATGTTGACCTTTTGGCCTAAATGATTATTCGATTGAAACTTGATTAGACAAAAATATATATATACTTATTGAATATAAACACAAATGAGACGTGTCTGTTGTTATAGTTAGATTCTTTTCGATAGGGTGTGGTTGTTGTCGTCAGTAAAAGGTTGTTCAGATCGTTTACATTTCACACAATATAATCGACAGCATAAATTACGTACAATCATGGATCATTAAACGATAAAAAAAAAACAAAAACCAATGACAAGATATGTTTCTCTTATTATTATTATTATTATTATTATGGAAAACAAAACAAAACAAAACAAAACTGTAAACACATATGAACGGATTGAGAAACAAAAAATTATCATAATATTACGACGATTTTTTTCTCTCACTGTGAATGTCAATCTTATAATTGTCTTTTTCTATTATTGTCATTTAGTAAATTTTTATATTTTGACTAGAGAGATTTTCATTTATTTATGATGAACATGTTGTAGTTACAGGTGAAATAAAATTGTACAATGATTGATGATGATGATGAAGAACATTAGCAGCAGCAATAGCTAATGGATGTTTCATTTGTAGAAAACGATATTTTTCTGTATCAGCTTCAGCAATACGTTTTTCTTTAGCACGACGATTTTGAAACCAAATCTAAAATAAAACATTTTATTTTTATTTTTTATTTAGATTTAATAAAAAAAAATGCATACTTTAACTTGTGTTTCAGTAAGATTTAATGATGCTGAAAATTCAGCACGTTCAGCAATAGTTAAATATTGTTTATCACGAAATTTTTTTTCTAATGCTAATAATTGTGATGTTGTAAATGGTGTACGTGGTTTTCGATTTTGTTTATGTTTACGTAATGAACAGATTTTTGCATTTATTCTAGGTAATTCATTATTACCTAAATTATTAAAGAAAACATATCATCATATAATACTAAGAAAGTAAAACTTTGCAATAGTCGCCAGTAGCGTACGCAGAAATTTTCCAAGTGAGGGGCCCAAGTTCTCAAGGAGGAGGCTCGTAATGGAGTTTTTCAATAATTTGTACCGTAGTACTTTTTCACCCGTGCTCCCTCCACAGGGAACTTTTCTTCTTGTTCAGATCAACTTCCTATTAAAATTTTTTTGATGTACCACTGTAACAAATGAAAAGTTTTAAGTCCTATTAGGCATCGATATAATAAACTAAAAATAGAAGCGTGACTGTCATCCCTCTCTGCATATCCGGTATTGTGTAAGGAATTGGTTTTTTTTAGTTTTCTTTGTAATTCTGCGTATATTCACTTACGTGCTTTATCAATAATTTCAGCATCAGGTAACCAATTTACTTGTGTATTATTATTATTATTATTGTTCTGTGACCAAGATAATCGAGTAATAATACTACTACCACCAGTTGATGATGGTGAATATTGAAGACTTTCATTACTTGTTGATTTTGATGGACTTGTTGTATGAGATAAGGAATGTTGAATATCATTTTGTGCACAATCAATTAATGAACGTATACTAAAATCAGTATTACGTTTAGATACCATGTCTTTAACGATTGATCGTTAGATTTAATTCTAATTTGTGAAGTCAAATTTACCTTGTTTTTCTTTTTTTTTCTTCTAGAAGAGAGAAACGAAGCAAAAAAAAAAACACTTTTGATTGGTTTAAGTATTGAACTAAGATGGAAGAAAATCATCCTATTGGACAAAAAATATGAATTCTTATTTTTCTTTCTCCTTCAATCGATGAGAAAAGGGAAATAGAAGCTTATCCCTGAAACGGAAATTACTTTTTTTTTCGAAAAAAAAAAAAAAAATAATATCATTGTGTGCATCTTTATTCAGAGATAATAAGTATGAAAAAAAAAAAAAGATCGAAAGGATCAATCAAAATAAAACTATCATTAATCGTAAATACAACAAATCCCAATAATTTAATCTCGACAGGTATCCGCCTCTTACGTTCGAGACATTCAACGTGAGGAAAATGACAAATTCACGTTTGATTTGATGTTGTTTTTCTTTTTTTTTTCGTTTTCTTGACGAGGTTAACTCTAATAGCAAGACTCTCTCTAGGGGGCAATTAGATGATAGGTGAAGAATGCATCTATCATTGTATACGATTGACAAGCGCAACGAGTATGATAATATGCATCTGACATACGCATTTTTTTTTCTTCTTATGATTGGATTTCTTTATGATGTAATATAGACTGATCTTCGATTTATTAATGATCTTTATTGTAATACGGAAGTGAATCGTTTGATGAAAACAGTCTAGAGATCACTATCCAGATGTACTTTAATGGAAATCGGTTTCTTTTGAACAAAAAATACAGATATACAATTGAATGTGTAATAATCAAAAAAAAAAAGCCAGATGAAATAAACTTTTCTTTCTTTTTCTCATGAAAATCTTTTCATATATTTTTTATTCTTTCAACATCATTAAACTAAATGACTATTATAATGTGTATTGAGACTCGTCGTCAGTCAAGTGTCGAACGGTTATTGTGTGTTCACTGATCAAAATTTGATTTGATTTTTTTTTTTTTCGTTTCTATCACCATGTGATTCAATGAATTGGA